ACAGGATAAAGTGAAAAGAGGGGGTATGGACGAAATGATGCACACCGCTAACATGGGCAAGCATGAACTAATTCTGAGAAGGCTTAGGCCCATCCTATTTTGCGTGAATCAACTTCTTCCCCCAGAATGTGCTAACCTCCTTCATCGGAGCGGACAAAAATGTGCTCATCCCGTTGATCGCGGCCGCATCTGTTTCACTGCATCACTGCATGTTTGCAGTAAAATGACCGAGTGGGCATTTGGAGCCCTATCCCCCACTCTATAGATGTTGCAAACATTGGAGTGCCCAACATTTTGCATTGGGACAGGCCTTTTGCTAGATGACACATTAAATATCTTCTTCACTATGAGGATGTTGAACTTGTTGTGGTGCCTGAAATCGCCTAGCATATGATTGGTGTTCATCACAACAAACTCGACAAGATCATTTTGCACAGAGAAATGATTAACATCAAGCAAATATTCAAAACCACCCTGATGGATTATGGTCTTCTTCGGGTCATTGACCAACGTGGTAGCAAATTCATGAAATCTCTTTGATATGAATCATTGACTGAATCCACATGAAAATCGCTGACTGAATACACCTTGAGCTATCTTATAATGCAAGGAATTGTCGCAATAATTATCAAAGACATGGTCAGAGGGAAAAAAGAAAAGCTCATGAACAAAGTATATTTTGAGAAGCTCGAAAAAAACAAATCAAAGCTATGAGGCTCATGTACAAATGAAAAGAGCCACCGAGCTATAGTCAGACAACTAGGGGTGCCTAGCAGGCCTAGGCGCCTAACCAAAGCACCCAGTTGACCATGGCACCTACAATGGGCGCCTAGGGCTCACAATGCCACGCCATGTGCCTTATCTGGTGCATATCTCTCGTCCCCGTGGTGAAAAGACAAGATATATTTTTTCAGGATTTTTCTGTCACCTCTTTGAGGCAGAACACGTTGAAAGGATCGATATGGTTGACTAGAGGGGGGTGAATAGACAACTAACAATTTTTAGCTTTTCTTTAACAATTTAAACTTTGCATAAAAGTAGGTTGTCTAGGTATGCAACTAGGTGAGCAACCTATATGATGCAACAAGGATAGGAACACAAGCAAGCAAGATATATGAAACAAATAAGCTTGCACAAGTAAAGGCACGAGATAACCAAGAATGAAGACGGTGGAGACGAGGATGTGTTGCCGAAGTTCCTTCCCTTTGAGAGGAAGTACGTCTCCGTTGGAGCGGTGTGGAGGCACAATGCTCCCCAAGAAGCCACTAGGGCCACCGTATTCTCCTCACGCCCTCACACAATGCGAGATGCCGTGATTCCACTATTGGTGCCCTTGGAGGCGGCGACCGAACCTTTACAAACTAGGTTGGGGCAATCTCCACAACTCAATTGGAGGCTCCCAACGACACCA